CAAGCTGTCCATGGGCTGAGCTATATATGAGTATAATGCCACTGCGCCAAATATAGCTCAAGTAGCTTTGAAGCTCTTGGCAGGCACTTTCACTCAAGCTCTGTAGAACAGCATATACATTATACTCTTCAGATTCAAACACATCACAAGGGTGTCATACTGGTGTGGTGGGGGGAGGGGGATTTTGCAGCCATGTAATAACCCCTGTGGCAATTTTTTATTTTGATCAGCAGCTTTAAATGCATTTCAATGTTCACAGATGTCCAGACAGACTGCACTGCATTTGCTATTTAGTCTCAAATTAAGTCATACAATATGTTGCACAGGGGGAAGACACTATGTTAATACTTGCAGTTAGTTCAAAGATATTTTAGGCTAGGGAGTTATATTGTGAAACAGCAGAGCAGAGCTCACACAGGGAAGTGACAAAGTCTGTTCTCGAGAACCAAAACACAAGAGAAAGTGGTGGGAAGTGACCCAAGTGCAACACGAGATACATGACTGCCACAAATAAAGCCCTGGCTCAGAAATGCACCACTCGAGTGGTTAAAAATGAGAGAGTGAAACTACACTGTTCCAGAATCGGACCCCGCAAATCTCTCGCACTTCTACAAAAAACACGAGGCTGTTTGAGCCCCTCATGTATAAATTATAACGAGTAGTTTCATCAGCACAGTATAATGAGGGGATATATGCAGACACAGTGGTTACAGAGACATGCTTACACAACGATAAAACAAACGGTACACCATGACACTTGGTGGTGAGTCATCCTGAAGCTGAAGTCATTTAAAAATGATAAAAACTCATCACACCACGTCTAGATTTTAAAAACACAGAGCACAAAACAATAGGACTGTTCCATTTTCTTTCACAAAAGTCCGATTAAATAATAGCAAAAGGAATATTTGGGTTTACTTTGGGCTATCCTAAAGTTCTGTGGGCCAAACCAATAATCGATTAATTAAATCAATAACTGTCAGATCCATTATTGAATTAAGCTACAGCCCTTATATGAACATGACAAAATGTTCTTGTATGTGTTTGGAAAACAGTATGAGGGAAGTTTTAATTAGAAGACTGTAATTCCTTCTGCGAGACAAAAGAAAGTATTTTCCGACAGGCATAGGACATTTCCTAATCCCTAATCTAAATCTAGAGTTAAGTAAAGTAAAAAGAGTGGATTACAGAGTGAGTCATGGGTTGATATTTTCCACACGAAGCTAAAATGTGAACACGCTACTCTTTGATGTTTTCACTACAGGACCTTTAAGCCTGTTAATAAAACCAAAAGGAGCTGCCTGTAGTGAGCACGTTTAGAAGCAAAACAAATCCTATTATTTCAGATTAAATAATGGAAATGAACCATTAAAATAAACCTAGAAATATAGAGATTTTTAGACAGTGATGTCATTAGTATTAAAGTCTTACAATTATTTTTGTTCTAATAAATCCCCCCTCTGGCAGTGAAACAGCCTAATATGAATCGTTCAGAATAAGAGATGGACGTTAGAGGACGTGGCTGCCCTCTGCTGGAATTAAGAATACACAATAAAATGCCAAAAAAAAGGAAGAAGCAAATAAGACTTGAAAATATTCTTACGACTTTCTAGAGGATTTCCAAATGAAATCTTTCTCAGAAGAAAAGGGAACATGTTTTCTTTTTCAAAATCCATCTTTAAAAGAAAAACCATGATATCAGAAAAAAAGGTGCTTTTCCTACAGATTTCCCTTCCCACACTGCCTTTCTATGTAAATGAAGAACTGACTGCAGGTCTGCCATGGACTTCCTGTTCTCCAGCAGCAGCTTATATCCATAGTAATGCAGTGGACAGGCCTTATATGTGTCAAGGGAGTGCACTGGTGCAAATGCATCGACCATCCGGATTTCTGCAAACGCTAGCAATTTCGCCCCATTTCCCCAGAGTCACGCACAGACCCAATGCTCACCCTTGCTGTCTTCATACTAGGTCTGAATATCAAATACTACTGTAGTGCTACATAATTCAAATAGCCAACCTTTATTATTCTGGGGTAATGTAGTTTCTGCCTTGCACTCGAGAATGAGATTACAGGGAGAATGGAAACTGGAAAACTACCAAGATTATATCAAGAGCCGGCCTTTAGCAGCATTGGAAAAGGAAATGATTTTGTTCATGACTTAGGGTGGGGTGACATCTGACCAAGGAATACTGAAATCAGAGATAAATAAGACCATTAAACCAATTTGTTGTTGCATACTAAAAACATCAGTTTGAAAACCGTCTTGATCAGAAACCCCCTGTGCACTTGTACCCTTCCACAAGATGGCAATAGAAATCTCACCAGATCTAACTTTTCCCTACCGAACAATACACATGCTTGAATGTCATCCAAAGAACACGCCCTATCTCTGTCCTTCAAAATCGAAACGCAACCTTTAGTATGTGGAAAAAAAATCCAACGTCACTGACTGGACATGCAGTGACGAAGCTGAATCTCATTAAAAGATGAATAGACGTGTCAAGCTGGACTAAGGCGGCTTAGAAATCTGAACCGCACCTCGTCCGTCTCTCTGCCCTTCTGCTTCAACATCTGCCAGCCAGAACATCTTTGAAGGCTCGAATGAAATCTGGTTTGAGCTGCGGGCGGGAGGAAAGTGCAAAATGCTACAGAGCAGAGACGGAGTAAAATCTGAGAGTGAATGAAAGCCATAAAGTTGTGCTATAAAAAAATAACAAAAAAAGCCGGAAGACCAAAACTTCAAACTGAAGGAGTCAGGTCTTTCCGAGAGCTTACATTACAATCTTTTTTCACCGTCAACATAAACAGTGCAACTTAAATGTTATTTGGTGACATTTGTGGGTATAACAGTTTCATTCTTACCTCTTATTGTTGTAGCTACAAGTCTAATATTTCTTGAGGTAAATGTTTCCCTCCTAATATTCCTGCTGGTCCTTTATGAGTCTCCATAGTATATGATACAATTATGTAAGTCCACTCCCAGATGATCATTTTTATAGTTTGCTCAATGCCTTTATCGTAATTTATGACAGAGATTACTCATTACTGGATCACAGCATCCTAATGGCACACTTAGATGGGCAGGAGTGTACTGACAGTGGCAGGTCATTGCAGACGGTTGGCTCAGGCCCTCTGGATCATAACTGCCATCCCAATGATGGTCTGAAATGTCTCTAAAACATTATGAGCTGCCCTTCCTCTCTGCTCTTAATTGTGCTCCATGAAGTATGTTGAACAGCTCGGCAATTAGCTGGAAATGGGTTGAAACTGCCACGCTGTAATGCTCATTTTACACTCAAATGTCAATAGAAAATGATCATTAACATGACAAATGACAACTCTACGCCTCTAGATTAGACTACTGCCAGCACAGTGAAGTCCCTTGTGGCGGTGAGTCAGGGTGCTGCTTCACTGCTCACATGAGGGGTGAAAGGCCCCCACCCCCCGTACCTTGTTTTGAGGTTAGATTTAAATGTGTGTCAGCCCTTTATAAGATGTGTAAACCTATGTTAGGTGATCCATTATATGTCAAACGTTTGAAACAATAGCTTTTATGATGGTATTATATTTGAGAGAATATCACTTGTTACTTTTACCATAGCTATGGTCTAACCATTTTTTATGGTATTACCAGCTTTCAATTTATGGTATTTTAATCTCCTTTTAAGTCTGTATTAATGTCCCATTTTTATGCTGGTGGCCCTTATTACTGTTTGAAGCCCTTTGTGACGTTCTGCTCTTTAAAAGGTGCTGTTGTACATATACAGTTACTTGCTTAATGAGGAAATCCATAAGGGCAACATAGAAATCATAAATAATGGTGCATACTGTCCTTTGATGTTAACAATTAGCTTTTTTCACAAAATGATAAGAAGTCTGCCTTCCAATAAGAGAGCAAAGCCTTCTAAGCCTCACACCTTTTACCCAACTGGCACACATTCACTGCAGTGTCACTGATACAGGGGGTCCGGACAATCAGACCTCCCCTCGCTGCACCAGGCAGGCCAAAACATGAAGCGCCCCCCCCCCCCCCGCCCGGGATCGGCTCAGTTCCAGCTCTTTACTTTCTGACCCACTTTTTTGACAGCAGCTCTGTTCAAACTTTCAGAAGCAATGAGTGCTTCCCTTGCTGGGCAACAAGGTCGAACATGAGAGAATGAAAAGAAAGTGGGTCAGAAAACCAGAAAATCACTGCCTCAACACGACTGCTAGCACTGATTCGTTTCTGAGTCAACTCTAGTGAATGTGAAGTTTATTTAATTCAGGTTTTTCTACCGTCTCCCATTTTGCAAGTAGCATTTTACATTGAGTTAACTTCACTACAGCAAGAGAATACACTCACATAGCCTTGAAAAGATCAGATATATCCATCATAGTACTTTTTAATTTAGCTTCTTTGTTTCAAGATCTGTTTTCATCAAATGTTAAAGCATTTAAGGAAGCACAGTTATAAAAATGTCTTTTAGATTTGAGCACTTACATCATACTCCAGGCTTGTGCTTAAGGCTTTTATAACTTCATGGCTAAGGTAAAGCTGAAGTAGGGTAAAGTCTTTTGTATGTGTTTGCATCTAGGAGCAGAATACAATGATCCCTGATTTCTCTTGTTGTTGTGGTTTTTTTCTGCAACCCTTCTGCATGTCAGCGCCCTGGAGAACAGGGTGTACTAAAAAAAATGATATGTTATACAGTATATTCTCCTTCACAGCTTCACCTTTTGTTTAAATGTGTTCATTTGTTTAAAAAACCATGATGGCGTCGGCTGAAATGTCAAAACTAACAGTAATCAACAAACCAAAATGTGATGTATTGGTGACTATGTCCACTTCTTACTGTATATACTGTACACTATCTCCTAGATTAATGGCTCAGTCCCACAGTGGTCTGGTTCCACATCTGAGACACTATCAACTCAGGTATCCAACAAACCAAGACAAATAGGAAAAACAAGACAGAGGATTTAGGTGATATTTGTCAACATGACGTATTTTTCCTCACCTCAGCACCATGGGACAGGCTCCTTTTCCTGAAGGCCGGAGAGGGCTCGGCTGATCGTAGAGGCATCAGACCGCCGTTCTTCAACTGCTCCCCTGAGGGTGACTTTGGTACAGTCCACACAGGAGCAACATCTGAAAAAACCACAAGGTCAATTAACAACAGAGTTTAAAACAGTGAGAAGGAGAAGCATTGGGGTTTACAAGGATCTGATTTGTACTGGTGGTTTGTGTGAATACATGTTTGATTCTGGGTCAGGTGACATTTATATTAATGAAAGGTACTAGGGAGACCACTGAATCACACTCTAACAGACTGAGAGGTTCTCACAAAGTATACTGTGTTATTGACAGATGCTACACCTCAAGATACTGTGTGTCTCTGTTAAAATGTAATATTTGTTCATTGTTGTTTCCTGGCCGGTTATATTGCCTGAACTAAAGTCATATACAGAAATGATGATTCATTTTGACTCCGATCCACAAACAATAACATTAGAAATCTACATCCTCTACAGTCCACTTCATGCTGTAACTGAGCTTTGAAACAACATTCATGCCAGTTAATTTACAGCCATTTAAAGATAAATATCTAATCTGAGAGTGCAACACCTGTCTTCACATACAGAGGATGAACTGTCAGAGGGGGCTACTGAGAAGCGAAACCCCTTTAAATGTATTTCAGTCAGTGTTTGTAGCTATGTGCTATTGCAGCATGCTAACCTTCTTGGAATGATAATGCTAACATGCTACTGTGATGTTTAACATATTAAATGTCATCCTTTGCTACACCAAACTCAAAGTCTATCTAAAGCTGATTGTCAATAGTTTTGCAAGCGAGTCTTGGAGGAATTCTCATTTTGACCTGGTTATGGCTCTTGAGGGAATGTGGATCCCCATAGTTATTTCAATTCATTTGGTCTTGAACATATTGTCTTCTTATTTTTACAAAATATTGCTATGCAAATAAATGTTCCTGAACTGAAATTGATTGTTTCCCCATGAGATTTCGCGTATAGAGTAATTGCCAAATTGTGATTTGCAGATGATATGAGGAAGAAAACGTCCATATTGAATATCAAGCAGAAATACTCTGTCGCACTTCTAGCAACTGCAAATTTAGCTTCAATTAAATACAAATAATATTTGTGGTATTGATAAAAGTTAATGACACACAGGAAGACAGAGAGCAGGGTTTAAGATACTGTCTTACAAAGGCTCCTTAATCTGTTCAACAGCCTCAAAAACATCTCTATTACAGCTATTGGACTAAACCTATTTTCCATCTCCTGTATGAACAGACTCTAAAAAAAACTATAAAAACTATAAAACTATAACCAAGCTACTAGTTTCCTCATGTAAAGGCTTCTTGTATTCATCACAGTATTAGATCGCATTTCAAAGCACTGGTAATGGAGCACAGGCCCTTCTCTCTAGCCCCGGTGCTCTATTGGGTTAAAAGTGTAATGCACCAAGAGGCCGTTCTTTGATACCCATTAGTGAGAAGCAAGCTGCGCTGACACAGGTTGACATGCTGGAGAGCCTGAGGCGAGCCTGTTTCAACAAAATGAGCAGAAATAGCCCTGAGGACGGGTCTCCGCCTCGGTCAACTGACAGTTCATCTGACTGGAACCAAAAAGTATTAAAAGTGAACCTCCTCCAGCTGGCCTCCTGTCCAATGGAGACATGAGCAGGTGGTGCTCTGCCTGAAGGCAAGTGAAATGTGAGAATTGTAGACATAGAGAAATTGAAACGCTAAAAACATAAGGTTATTCTCAAGACATTTGGGGGTCAGAGTTTATTTTATGAAAATGTTTTAGGGAACATATTCTTAAAATAGATGTGTGTGTGCATGTAGCTAGTTTACAAATACATCTACTGGTACTGGTGCTAGTGAGCAGGGGGTTGTCTGGGCCATTGGATAGGGGCATGCAGGTGAATCAAAAGGCCATCGCAAATCAAACAGTGGAAAGACAAACAATCATGCAGTTTCAAATGGCTTTACTTTCCATTTCTGGGCTTTGAGATTGATTAAGATATTGTGACGCTTTCCCATCGGATTCTCACCCATGTTCTTCTTGTGCGCTCTACTTTTAGTTTTAAAAGTATCTGCTCTTTCTTATTTTGTTATGCTCCAAGGGGTTTGCAAGGTAAATGCCCTTAAAGGGAAATGTACTGCGTGTGGGGTAAAAGAGACAAAGGGTTGGGCTTCAAGCAGCATATTGCAGTGAGAGAGGGAAGCTAGAGCGAGCAGCAAAGATCCTCTGTGATCAGCTGATAATACGCTGTCTGGATTGTGACTGGCAGGTTTTTGGTGGGAGTTTGCAAAGATCCTTCAAGTTCCTTGACTGTCTTTGTGATAACTAGAGCTGACTCAGAAAATCTGCTCCTGTTGTGTAATAAAAGGAGCCTGGAGGGACAAACGTGCCAGCCAAACTCTGTCCAACCTCATGCTCGGCTCTCTACCAAAGAGTCAGTTGCCCATGCAGTGGCAAAGCTTTCCTGTGTGGGCGGAACAGATCCATTCAACCACCCAACCGACCAGACAGTCACTCCTTTATCAGCTGCATCAAATCTGGATGCTGCTCATGCCGGTGAGCCTCAATACCCATCACTTGACATAACCGAGGATCCGAACAAAAAATCTCCTCACTGAGGTGTGGGGGGGACATGCCGGAAGCGAGGAGCAGCTGGACCCCCACAAGAGTTATCAGCCAGGCAGCGTAAGGAAAGAGGTTTGTACTTGCGGCCCGGTGGTCCCATTCCACACCACCCCCTGTCAGATGAACAGGTACAGGGCAGCGTGACTGTTGGCGCAAAGAGAAGACCAACAAATTGTGAGGACGGGCAGATTGGAGAGGGATCCGGCACCCAACCAACCCAGACCCGAAAAGATACTCCCAAAGTCATACAGTAGATAGAGTTTGATCAGACTTTCTTGGCTTAAATACTCCACTAAAAACAAATGCACCTGTAGGGCTTAAAACACAGCAGCTGTCATATGCTTGGATTTACAGCAGTAACAATGGATTCTAGTCAGGAACCGTGAGATTAAGGTTAAGGAAGCTAGCAAACATGCATTTCCCTAGTCTTGTCCTCCAGAATATCCAGGGGAAGTTCAAAAGGTTACCTAAGCCAGAAGGGACTTCATCCTTTCAGCATCTACTGATCTACAGGTTCTACTCCAAGTTGGAAGTAATTGGAACACCTTTAAAGAGAGGCATCCAGGAAGCATTCAAATTGGAAGCCTGAACCGCCTGATATGACAATTTTCATTGAGAAGTAGCTGAGTTGATTTGGGACGTCAAAGCACCTCAAAATCATCTCCAAAGGCATCTTCAGACCAAAAGGAGGGTAAATTATCATAAGGCAGCATGAATTGAGACAAAAATGCATACACGCTTAATCCAGGAATTACGGAAAGAACAATAGTTCCTGGTGAGTGCACCACACACACAGTAAATGTATTCCTGGCTAGTTTACAGCTAACATCTGTCAGTTGGTACACAACCTGTTTAGTGTGAATAAGCTGAAGAAACTAAGTATTATCTTCTTCTTCAGAACACTTGAAACAATCGACCTCTCGAATTACAAGGAGACAATAGTGTGTAGCTAAAGAACATAAAGGTCAAGAAAAGCTACATAATGGAGATGAGATGGTTTTGTCCACAGCAGAGAAATTGAATATGCTGCAGATGTTTGTGAAAGTTCTACGGGCAAAAGTGAACTTTTTTTTTGTGAATTACTGGTGGCCATTGTAACTGCTGTGGATCCAAACTGACTACATCTGCCGTCTTCCAAAAAAGGAGCAATAAACACACTCAGAGCCTCCTTTCAGGCCTACAGGTAGTGAATGTTTGGGGCTCAACAGATTTTGAGTGGAGTATTACTTTGAATCATACCTAAAATGGTCTACCGGTGGGTCTACCTTCCACCTTTGGGAACTATTTCCTAATCCTTGGTATTAAGCCAATAGAACCACCCTTAGGCTGAAATTGTTTAAATTGAAACAACTTTATTGGATCCATAGTGATCTGGCACAGAGAGGGTTAAACATGGCAGAGGTCTGACATTTTAGGCACCAGTGTGGATTCCTTTGGCAAAGAAGTAATCCTTTGAGAAGATTTAAAAGTGCATAGTATTAGTCATTATTATTAAGTCATCATTCACACAAACTTTTTTTTCTTCTGACATGCATACAGTATGGGGAATCAACCTGGAAGGCCTTCAAGGATTATGTAAATAATATTGACAGTAAAACCAGAGCATACACACTTCACATTCATGCTTGTACTTGGCACTACCGTTTTAAGGAACTATTGGTATTTCAATGCAGTTGACAACATTGAAAACACACAATAAGGAACTGAAAAAAGGCACAGAACAAGACCAACAACAGTAAACTATGACAAAAAACATAAAAGGAATAAAATAAAACTATTTAAATATTGAATGCAGCATTCAACAGCATTTACTACAGACATTGAAGTTCATGGTACACATCAGGCAAGAGCCACAGTCCAGCTGCCCTGGAAGGGCCTTGCCACTGGGGCTAGGCTCTGGAGGGGGGCACTGGAAAAGCAAGAGGGATGGGGGAGATGGAGGGGTCAGGGGCTCCAGTAGCAGCACTGGAACAGGGCCGGGGGCGGACTCACCGGAGGGGGCTCCGTGGCCGGCGTAGTCGCACTGGGACTGAGGCGGTGGCTGGCTGTGGCTCTGGGTCTTTTGGAGGATGTTCAGGCACTCTCCCAGGCAGCTGAGTGTGGCGGCTGACGTGGCTTTGAGCAGCAGCAGGTCCTGGTCCAGACAGGAGAGAGGCCCCCGGGGGGGGAGAGAGTCTATGGTCTGGACCAGGTTCTTCTGCTGGCCCTCTGCTTGGGACATCACCTGGGGGGGAAGCAGAGTTAACAATAAACTAAAGAAACCACACCTTTAACTTTGACTGTAGATTGTGAGGATTTACCCCTTCATGATATTGGCTATTTCAACTTATTAACTTGAAAATACAATAAATTCAGTGAGTAATTACGTGTTTGCCTTTTTAAATGCTGGGGGATCTTTTATTTTCTTCTTTCCCTTTCTTAACTATCCAATGAAAAGACCAAACCACACAATGACATAGTTTAAACCACTTTCATATACACCTTTCACCACCTCATTCATTGATACTGTTTTAGTTGAGTGTAAGAAGTGACACAACTTCTAATAGTGTCACCTCTGTCACCTTGACAGCTGAAACTCTTTAAAACCAAAAAAGTTATTCCCTGTGCTCCACAGAACATTTCTTACTGAGAATTTGTATCTGTATTACTCACCTATTAGAGTCTAAATGTATCACAAAAATGAAGAAGACAAAGTTGGTTCTCGCTAGCGGGTAATAAGCTTCTCTCGGGGCTAATGATCGGGGTTGTTTATCAGCCTGGAAATGTTGTATTCATTAATATTGTATGGCTTCACAAACACTCTTCCTCGGCATACACTTCAATAGCACATCTGTCTTCCTGCATCAGTACACAGAGCTATTTCTGAGACACTGAGCTGTTGCAGTGAGGTTATATGTGCCATAGACATTCATGCAATGGAATTTAAAAACGAATAAAAAGCACAGAGCTTGTCCTAGAACTCTATTAGCTATTTACTTGGATCCAATGTTGAACTCCTCAGGCAGTTGGAGCTCAAATGGTTGTCTCCAATGGTTGTTATAATTAGATTCCCATTGTTCAGCATGCTGATAACATATAATTACAGTGCCCTTGAAATAATAAAGGCTTCATTTCACTAAGGCATCTCATGTGCCCCTCATAATGAGCATATTTTATGACACTGTATACAGTCATAAAGTGTTGGATATATAATCCTTTATTGCCCTTCTTTAATATGTATTGTTGAAATGTCATAGCAGCTAATCAATTTAATTCCTAGGTGAAACAATAAATCCAACCAATCTGTTGCAGCTTCTTTGGGAAGATTCCGGATATTTGATTTCCAAGGTGATAGGGCAAAAAGTGTCCATAAGAGTAAGAGAGTTTGAAAGGATTAAGAAAGTGTCATCTCTCACAAATTATGTTAGTTTAGTTAAGTGTTTTTGTCTTTGTCTAGTGATTTTCCCCTTTAATTTTGAATAGTAACCTTTCCTCTCGTTTCAGATACTCTGACCTCCCTTCCTTGTGTGTCTCCCACTCCTGTGATTGTCGACCACGCCCCTGATTGTTTCCACCTGTTCCCCATTACCTGGTGTATTTATTGTCCTCGTCTCCCTTTGTCCTGTGCCAGTTCGTTTCGTTTCTTGTGACAGTCTACCAGCGTATCATGCCAGAAAGAATCCCAAGCAGAGCTTTGAGCCACGTCTTGTCTAAGTATTCTTATATTCATACTCCTAGTGTTTTTCCTCATTGAAGTGATTTTGTTTTGTTAGTGTGTTTTCCTCATTAAGAGTGACTTTGTTTTGATACTGTTTTTCCTCGTTAAGAGTGATTTAGTTTTTGTTTACCACTGTCGTTGAGCTTTGGTTTGAATAAAACCTTTTTTGTTAAAAACCTGTGTGAGTCGTGCATTTGAGTTCAAACCCGTTTATTCAGTCGTAACAGAAAGAAATAATATACAGATTAGTCTGAAAATACGAAAGGAAAACTGATGGACAGCAGAGGGGTTGATTATCCTGCTTGGGTGACATTTGTAGGGAGTTGCCCTTCATGTTGATTCTACAGGACACAACAAAGATACATTTCAGGTAGTGCTTTATCAATAAAGAGACACGGATTAATACTGAAGTTATAGGATCATTCTAGCAAAGCTGCAAAACTGTAATTATCACTTCAGTACATATTGTGCAAAATGCAAAAGCAGGCAAAAAAGTAGAGATTCAGAGGAAGTATAACTGCATCAGTGGTGCACTAGTAATAACACACATCAGCTGCCTCAGGGTCTATATTTGTTATAGGGGTCTGTGAGGGTGGCAATGCAAGTTTTGAGCAAATGTGTTGCTATGCAACCTTAACTCAAAAAGAAAAGAAAACATACAGTGCTCAGCAATCACACAGTTCAATGGGTTTTATGATGTACAGTAAAATGCAGCCACCTTACTTAATATAACACAAAAATGAAATGTTTGCTCATACACGGAATGAGGAAAATGATAAGACTCGTAGAAGATAAGAAAAAGAGAAAACTTAGTGATTTAAAGCAACAACATCAAAAGTGCCAGAGCAAACTATATAATAAGGTATTGTCAGAATACATAAAGAAATAGTGACTCAAACACACACAGCCTTTTCAAGAGTTATTTTTGACAAACTGTCAGCAGGTGAACATCATGAGTACAACCCAGCCTCATCTGGGTGACAGGGTCAACATGAGGGCAAGAGAGTATACCTTCAAGTATAATTCAACTACACATGCATTAAATATGAATCACATTCATTTATGTGTGTTGGCGTGCCACAATATCGACACCGACTCCCAGGTATTGATTTCTGTTCTTTTTACTATTGAAAATAGGTCAGATCTTATGTAATGTAGAGCTGCAAGCAACACATTGATTTGCACAAACCCCTCCTATCCCCTCTGTCTCTCTCTCACAAACACATTGACAACAGACAAGTCAGTAAATAGCTCCTCCTCTCCGTGCACTCTCAACATGTTCATACGCTGGAGGAAGAATTTTGGTTGACAGGCCATTCCTGCATGTAATCAATCAGGAGCTCTCAAACGATAGCATCATGAACACCTCTGCCGAAATGTCTCCAAATTGGATTCATCCACGTCAACTATGACGAGTAGACTATCCATGTTCGGTACCCAACCCTGTCATTATTAGAGACACAACTCTTCAATTAGGTCACACAAGTCTAAGATAACGTAAGAATACAGCCGGGTTGTCAAAGTTAGCACACTGTAGCTGCTAGTCCACAACAAACACATGCACCACGCTATTCCTGATATTCCAACAAAAACTAGCTCATAAATGTAACTAATAAGTAATAAAAGAAACTCTCATCCACAAGTTTATTTAAAAAAACTCAGCATACGTTTTTAAATAATGTTGCTCTCTAGATTTTAATAAATGCAAAGTTCATATTATTTATTATTGTTTGGTTTTGCAGGTTACATGTTAGTCCTGGCAGCAGAGATGCGCTACAAGGCTAAGTCAGTGGGTTTACAGTAATGGCAGCTCTCCTCCACACACACACACACACACACACACACACACACACACACACACACACACACCCAC